TCCCCTAAGTGTTTTGTCTGTTTTCTTCCACTGCTCCTTTCTTGAATCCCAGCGTGAGTTTTGGAGTTTATGGGCTCCTGATTTTTCCTTGGGAGTGGGAAGAAAGACTGTGCACACACTGTTAATGCCACAAGCTCACCCGAGGCTGACTGGCTGCCAGTTAATAATTGTTTGGAAAGACTAGCCTAGCCTTGGCCTATATGATAATTTTGCCTATAAATTCCTTTTTCTCCAGGATGTTGTCATTCCCTTGGATTTACATTTCATGGTTGGGAGGCTTTAGCTGTGGGTTGCTCGTTCTTTTTGGTAGCTCTTCTTGTTGCAGTCACATAACTTTGGTTTTATCAGGGTGCTCCAGTTAATGCTTTATCTCAGTAAAAAAGAAAATAGCTTCACAGTTTAATTGTGCTGGAGTGCCCGGGCACATTTGCCATCTACTTGTTTTAAAGCTTGTCATTTGCTGCATGCTAATGGAAATGCAAAGCACTAGAGATAGAAAAGTGAAGGAAACAGGCTTTAGAAAGTTCTGATGGAATTGTCCTGGATTTTTGAGACCAAACAGCATCTGCACAGGCTGCTGAGGAAGAGATAGATGGTACAGTATTCTCAGCACCTCTCCCTTCTCCTTATCAAGAATTGCCTCTGTCTGCTGGTTATCCTTGAAAAAGTGGTCATTTAGCTTCCATCATGGTAGCATTTTGGAAAACCTAGGCTTTGGAGTCGTAGTATTGGACATTGAGAGCCAAGCCTGCATTTTTGTGTCCTGAAAGGTAACTGACAGTTTCCCTCATCCAAACCTACTCTTTTCCCTCTGTGTTTCTTCTGTCTTGCAGTGGTGGGGGATGAGAAACAAATGCAAAGTGCAGCCTGCAGCAGTTTGATCTGTGAGCCCAGAACACCAGCCCCTGCTGCATCTGCTTCCATAAAGCCAGCAAAAATTGATTGCTGCTTCTCAGAGATGTGCTGGAAGGAAGAGGGCAGAGAGAACCCACTCCTTTTCAGCCAAGAGAAAGCAAAAAGCCCAGGGCACTGCTGTATTTATGTTAAAACCAGCAAATATTCCCTCTCACTGAGAACCCTTGGCTTGGAGCCTCGCTGAGAACACTTGGCTGGGAGCAGAGGGGCTTTTTTGTAGCTGGAGAAAAATTGTTCTGTTCTGAATCTCTCCACTTACCTGTGGCCAGGAGATCCTTCTGTGGTGCTGGGGCATCAAGGTTTTTGTGTAGGGGCAGCAGTGTGCCAGCTGTGCTGTGACCTGGCACGGACACAGAGCCATGACTTACTGCAGGGTTTGGCTTTAGGAGTCTCAAATTCAGGTTGCTTCGGGCCATTGATTCCTGGTGACTTACAGTTTTCACTGCTGAGAAACCATGTGGACAGTGCATATCCCTTTAATCAGCTGCCTAGAAAATCTGAGTCTCTATAATGTCTCATCACATACTGAATAGGGCAATAAAACATTTAGCCCCTTTGAAATAATCTAGCGTATAAAAACCCACTCCAAAGCTAGCACGCCTTGCACCACCCAGGGAAACAAGCCGTGAATTTCACTTGGGTTTCAGAGTTGCTTTGTTTGCTCCTTCCTGGCTGCCAACACTGCTCTGTGTGTTGCCCCTGTGCCAGGTGAGTGCCATGCAGACTGTGTGAGCTGCTCCCAGGCCTCTGATCGCTGCGACTCCTGCCGGGACCCCAGGAAGCTGCTGCAGGACGGGCGCTGCGTGGAGATGTGTGCAGGGGGCTTCTACCAGCACGGGGGCGCCTGCCTGGGTGAGTTCTGCTCTGCTGCATGCTGTGCTTTGGGCTGGGGGATCCCACGGGCTCGTCCTGAACAGCTTGGGAAAGCATCCAGGCACGCGCTGTGCTGCATCCATGAGACTTTGGGAGGTTTCAGGTGGAAGTAGAAGCAAATTCTTGAACTCTTGAGCTAAAATGAGGCAAAATAATCTCATTTTGTCAGACCGGGGTGGGGGGGGGTCCTTCTGCATCAGGGATTTGGGATTGATTTTCGTTCTCTCTTTCCTTTCTGCTGGCAGCCTGCAATGAAACCTGCTCAGCCTGCAGCAATGGATTTGAGTGCTCCTCATGCCAGGCACCCCTGCTGCTGAAGGACGGGCAGTGTGTGCCCTCCTGTGGGGAGGGCTACGTCCAGGAGCAGCTCCTCTGCACAGGTACCTCCNACAGCCCTGTGCTTGCCTCGTGACTGCCGTGATTGTTTAACCTCTGTAACTTTCAAAATGACACATCCTAGTGCTTTTGAGGGAAAATGTAATCTACATAAGTCTCCTGACTAAAGGACTCAGGTACTTTCTTTTTGAATGCCTGTGTTCAAGCCGGCACAGCTCAGCTCCTTTCCATTGAAGCTGAGTATGTGATTTTTAGCACTGACTTACTTTGAAGCAGGATCAACCCTCAAATCCTTTTCAAAAAAGACAGCTTTCTCCTTCTTAGCCCTTGGAGCAGGTCAAGACATCCCACAGCAGTCTTTTCTTTTGAGGGAGCTCTTCTGCTACATGCCCTGCAGCACAATTGCCATTTCAGCCACTCTCCTGAAATACCAACCATGAAGCTTTTCCATGAAGGCTGGACTTTGGAAAAGGGGGTGATGGGATGTACACTGGGGATATGTGTGGTATCCCACCAGTCAGAGAGATAGGGACTGAAGTAAAGTGGTAGTAATGACAATAGTAACAACTCTACAGGTGACTATTTCTTCCTGTTAGGAAAAAACTATCTGTAAAAGTGGACATAATTTAAAATCCAGGTTTTTTGGTTTATAGTGCTTTGAAAAGCAAACTCACAACATTGTGCAGAACAGAAGTATGTTCATATACTTATATATATATATACATAATACATAATCATATACATAGGGCAAAATGCTGGTTTTGCAGAGTCATAGAATGGCCTGGGTTGGAAGGGAACCCTAAAGATCTCCCTGGCTGCCAGCTAAGTGTAATTGTAGAAATTACTTTATTTCATTTAATTTCCTCTGTCCAGCCCTGTGTAGTTGTATAAATTACTTTATTTCATTAATTTCCTCTGTCCAGCCCTGTGTAGTTGTACAGATTACTTTATTTCATTTAATTTGCTCTGTCCAGCCCTGTGTAGTTGTATAAATTACTTTATTTCATTAATTTGCTCTGTCCAGCCCTGTGTCTTGTCTCCCCAGAGTCCAGAGGTCTGCGTTCAGCTCACACAGTAGAACCTGTAGCCTCCAGCCACTCTAATAAGTGTGAGGTTTTTGGCTAGTGAGTTTATGTATTTATTTAATCAGATGGCTTAGCTGAAGATGGTTTGGTTTAGGGCCAGTTCCAGGAAAGAAATGCAGTTTTTACCTGCTCTCCTCCTTCTTGCTGGGCCATCCTTGTGGTGAGTGTTTGTTTCAGGTGGCCAGTCCACCTCTGTGGGTGTTTGCTCCAGAGTGGATGGTAACTGTGCAGTGATAGGAAACCCTGCCTGGAGTGGCTGCAGGCTGATAACAGAAGGTGGCTTCAGCAGCTGGTGAGTTTGCAGAACTGCAGAGCTCTTTGAGGAGGACCAGAGCATCGCATGGTGTTGGGCAGCTCAGCTCTGCATTTCAGTGGGTGCCAAGAGATCTCAAATCTGCAGCTGTCTCTGCCTGCCCCTCATCTTCAGGAACTGCTCCCTACTCTGCACTCCTTCCTACCTCTCCCAAGCACGTTTTGAGGCGGTAAGGAGCGCACTAAGGCGGAATTGACGTGGTTTTGTGTGTTGTTGTGTCCCAGAGTGCCACTCCTCCTGCGCAGGCTGCGTGGGCAATTCCTCGTGGGACT